TAAGGAGACCATCGATGCGAAGAGAATTTAGATCACATACGAGCTAAACTCCTCTTTACTTTGAGCTTCTTTTGGCATGTTGTGTGTTGCTCAAGGGCTAGTGAAGATATGTTGGACATAAAATAAATTACACCAATTTCGATGCCACTCACTGAGTGTTCGCTTCACTACTTCCGTCGAATAGAACTCTCTAGCTTGAATTGTAGATGGTTTTGTTCGGTCCACAAGAGAACCGCCTTTGTTGGCCTATAAAAATAAATATTAGCTGCCGGTAACTGCCTTCAAAATGAAAGAATGGACTGACGAGGGGGATAGCATAAGTGGGGAGAAAAGCAGTGCACGAAGCAAGCAACAAGGCAATAGAGAAATGCATAGAAGATGAAGGGGAGGACTGAAAAGGTAGTGGTCGGTAGTGTCGTTACGAAGGGACCGGCCCAGGAAAGATGCACGTAAAGTTGGGATGAGAGACCAGCTGCTGAAATACGCAGTTCCAAGGCCAGGGTTTTATACGTATGGTACACGAAGGACGCAACCAGTCATCTCGCGCCCATTTGCCTGTGGAAAAGATTATCCATGGATTGACTTCGGATGAACACAAAAAGATTTCTCCCTGAATGATTTGGACATAAAACAGGGATATGATTGACGTGATGCTTCAAAATTGAAATTCGGCGTCCAAAAATAACCACACTAATGTCGCTGTAGCATGTGGCCTGTGGGTACTGGCACCAATTGGACTACCTATATCATCGGATTTTCTTGAGATTTTCAGTATCTCACGAATATGCATAGATGAGCAGGATGGGTGCTTCTGGCTACAGGCTCATCGGTGGTAGTTTGAGTTATGACCATTGACCACAATCTCAACGTGATTGATCGCGTCTGGCTGGTAATCAATGAGCCCTCATTGTGAAAGCCTGTCAACCTTGTGACCTAGTATTTTTGATCAGTCAGACAGCGACGAAAACAGGCAACCTGAAAATGCACACAAATAGAAAGGTGATCGACATGATAACACAATCCTTGAAAGTTGTCAGTGGGGCGACCCTGAAACCGTTCGAACTTGTTTTGACCCGTAACAAATTTGAACGCCTTCATAGATTGGTGAGAACCTGGTCAGTGTGTGTCAAGTGTACCGCTCAGACATTATCATTGAAAGCCCTGGATAACTAAGTATACAGATTGCGAGGAGTGCGGAGAAAAGAAAGCTGTGGCGAGGTCCTATCAATCACATCGTCATATCATTGATATCATCAAACCCCTTCCCTTGTTGCATCAATTGTGATCCTCGTGATGTTTTGCGGATACACGTCAAGTCACCAGTATTGAGTAAAAGATGGTGACACGTATTTGAATTTCCACAGTGGTTCAAATCAAATCAGGTTGAAATGTCCGAGCATAGTCGCCTCGCAGATGTCCACAAGGTACTATCCGACAATGACATCTCCGAAGTACTGCTATGGGGCGAAAACGCTATGCGTATCTACGGGATTCCAGCGGTTGTACTGGTGCGCACGACTTAGCTTCTTCCAGTGCCGTTTCGACGATTACCAACAGAGAGATGACCTCGTGCTCAATGACAATGACCTCGACAGAGCTACTGCCGCCCTCGTTTCATAGGGCTGGCGAGAGGTAGCGCTCACAAGACCGCCTTCCCGAACGGGCTTCTGGATGAGTGGTTATCGAAACTTCATGGCTCGGGGTCGCAGGCTGGCGTATCCGGACTCATACCAGGATATGGAAAGCCTGGAGCTAGTTTTACTCCCACGCAGCTTTCCTGGGTTCGAATCCCTTCACTCTTCCCTGAACGATGCAACATCCGGTTTCTCCTATCCTTCTGCTATTGTTTTAGCAGAAAGTATTGCGACGGCATTTTCAAAATCGTCCGGGACTTTTGCCTTGTTAATGCAAGCATGGGCGTGCTATTTTCTGCAATATGACGTGTTGAAAGAGGATGAGGTGAAGGAGTTGGTTGTAAAGAACCCACAATGCTGGCAGAAGCTGTTAGAATTGACTTGAAATGGTCCGAATGCAAAGTTTCATGTTGTCTTGTCGAGGTATTATGAATCATCCATAGATATACGCTGACAATTCATCTGTATATCACCATTTATTGCTGTCGAGTTCTAGAATCCAATTTGGCAAAAGGTCTTCCGAATCCCTGGACATGTGCAGCCCTCTATACAGCAATTTACATAGATACTTGAAGTCGGACCCTTTACCAAGGCACACCATCTTTACCCCTCCAGTCCATGCCAGGTAGACGCCAGAATCCTTTTCCGAATTATCGGAGCTGCCCAGTCGAGTGCCCACGGGTAGAGGTTTAACTAGATCCAGTATGTATAGTTCTTTGCTAGTATATCGGTTAGTACACGCGCCTGTCATCAGACAATGACATATCGCGCGAAAGCTGGGTTCGACTCCCAGGCAGAGAGATAGCTGATGACCGGTCATTTTACTTGTTGCTTGGGAAAAGTTTGACATTTGCCCAGATGATCCATACATTAAGTAAATAAATAAATAATTCAATGGAAACCAACCGAGCCAATGCTCAGTACCACCGGTTTCCACCTCCGTAGAGAGGCCACAAGAAGAATGGATGCGCGTGTCAAGTTCATCCACATGAACAAAATCCCCATGAAGTTCCAGTGTTTTCAGCTGTTTCCACATCAGGTTGTTGAGATCAAGGATATTCAATGAAGTTGTGGGAAAATACATCACTAGCGCGAGGTGTTGTAGAGAGGGAAATTGGAAATTCCAGAGGAAAAGGCACACATCAACTGAGCTGATGTACGGACATTCCAAATACGGTATCAAGATTGATCTTAATAGTCTAGGATCAGTGTAGGGATCCACCGAAGTCACCAATGAGGGTGAGCGGATAGTCTTTATTGTCAGGCTACGTAGCTGACAGAGATTGTGTAAAATGTATAAACAATCATTGCTTGTAATGGCACAATCTATCTACAACACATGGAGGTTCTGAAGGAGGGAAGGCATCATAGGCATCATAGGCAACCACGATGCGATCAGTTGTCAAGGGTGACCGCTCCAGACCAAATGCCACAAATCCTTTAGGGCCTCTGTCAGAAGTCAAACCCTAGAGGACATTGTTGCATCAAAGGGTAATTCCTCGTGCATGCACGGTGTATTAAAGCATATATTAGCGAAAAATACAAGGTCATCATCCTCAAACCAGCAGGGCCAGTAGATCCATCCGAATCGAGGGTGTACTTGTTGCTGGATGCTCGTTAGTTGTAATCCGCGTCCCTTGTACTAGCAGTTGACTGATTTGGATCAAGGGTCTTGTACATCAGTTGAAAGGTCCACA